TATATATATATATATATATATATATATATAAATACATACAAACGATAATTTATGCATTAACAAAAATATCGGTATACATAGACAATTAAAGATTGTACCGTGTGACAAAACAATGAATATGAAAGTATAAAATATTTAAACTATTGAATTGTTTGAGTTTGTGAAGGTGTGTAGAAGTATGCTATATAGAAAGATGTTACATGAAAGAAAGTGATGAGAGAAAGATAAAGAGAGAAAGGTGAAGAGAGAAATGTGCTGGCGTACATGCGTGCATTGTGCGTGCTTGTAAAAGTGTCTGTATTCCTCAGTGGAGAAAGCTTTTTCCTCGTTCGACCTACATCTTACCTTCCCTGAGTGAAATAGGAAAAAAATTGAATGACAGAGAATGTTACTACTTATACATTAGCTAAGAGAGCGTCCGCTGGGATTTAAGCTTTGCTCCTGCGGAGGGATCTTCACTGGTCCTTCATCACAATAGGTAGGGTGAGTAGAATCTATAGTAACTCAAAATGATCGCTGTATGTATGTATGGCATTAATATTTAAGCTTATCTTTTAAAAGTTCAACGATAATTCTTCTGCCACCACTTAATTTAAAGACAATTCGATGTACGTAAGTCCCTACGTTATGTACAAACAATTCTTTTTATTTCGTGTTTGACTTTCACTGAATTTTGCAATTAATTTCTATTATTCCCAAATTTAAAATTTTTATCGTACAACAAAATTCGTTGCAAAACAACACGTACGATATCGGCGAAAACAATTGAAGAAATGAAACGTGGTGAATCCAAAATTTCAGGATTGCTGGTCTGGATTCAGCATGATTCCAAAATGGTATGATATGTTTGGCTACGGCCTCTAGGGGTAAAGTTGACAAAGTTTGGCACAGTGACACACTGATATTCGTTTTTATTATATAGATATACGAAGTTCTATTCAAAAATTGGTTAAATTGAATTTTAGCGTTTAATTAACCTGTTCAGTTGTAAAATTATCTCGCATTTCCTATGTCTCGTATGGCACATTGCAAATCTTTAGATATCAATATCCCAGAAAAAAATCTTTTTATCTATTAATTTATATTTATTAATTATAAACGTCGAACCGTATGTTTCCAGAATCATTAGTTTTAAGTGTGGATAGCGTGTATATATATATATATATATATATATATATATATATATATATATATATATATATATATATATATATATATATGTACACTTGCGCGCGTGTGTGTAGAAAATGAATGAGATACTAAATATGATCTTAAATGACAAAAAGAGTTATAATATAAATGATATTTTCGTAAGATAGAAAAACGTCCATTTACCAGTTTACACATGTTGATATATTTTGGAAGACAAACAAGTTAGGTTTAAGATGACGTTGAAGGTTTATAGATCAGAAATAATTATATTCACAATAATATTTTGTTGTATTGGACAAAGAAATTAAATTCTAACCTAGAAAATATGATTGTAAAAACCTGGTATCGAGGGAATATAAAAGCAATCTCAATGGTGTAAAGTCAGAAATAGGATTCATGTAAAAGTCATGTATTCGGTTATTTTTTTTTAAATAAAAATCTTTCGGATCATGAAATTCAAGACAGCTACTCAATCTGAACAAAGAAAGGTAAGTCTGCCAAATCAAAGTCAATAGCTACTGCAGCTGACCAGAATGTGAAGATAATGTTTTTAAACCAAAAAGAAAAGAAAAATAACAAGATTTCAATTTGAGATTTTATTTGAAAAAAAAGAAACATGATATTAAAAGTGGCACGAATAATGATGAAACCGAAGGAATCACAGATTTCTGTATATTTTTGTAAATTGCCCAGAAAAGATCAGTGCTCTAGTTGGTATTAATTCATCGAAAAATTCTGTAGATTATCAAAACATTATATCACGTCAGAAAACAGCTTACTGTCCTTCTAATATAGTTATGCAAATGTATGAGATATTAAGACAAATGCAACATGTTAACAGCACTGGCAAGAATGATAACTAAGTCAAGAATTTGTCTCAATTTTGTATCTTAACTTGCGTTATAGTGGTAAATGTGTTTTTCGGTTTCTGTCAACGTTGAATGGAATAAAAGTATTATATGCGCCCATAAAAAATCACTTAGACACTCTTTGATATAAATTCACGATGCCAGTCACCCCAATGAATAAACACGTGCGCATGCCAACTAAACAAGTATAAATCCCTCGTCAATAAAAAGTAATATGTTGAAAAACTCCCGTAAATCATCGTTCATCAATTTATAGAAAATTAAAGTTACACGATGTCTCTCTCGAGAAAGTCACATATCACTATGATTGTAGCTTAAATAGGTTATGTGGCATTTATGGAGATAAATTGTATTCAGTTTGTGAACACATACACGTATCTGTATTCGAAAATAAAATTGTATATATATATGTCTATAAGGATTATCCAGTAAATGTATCTAGACTCCCAAGAACGTTAACATATATGTATATATACGAAATCTTCTTCTTCTCTGCGCCATGTCCCTTAAGGAAATTAGAGGTCATGGCTCTCCAAAATTTCCATTCCTCTGTAGGTCTCAATAAATGTTGTCTCTTTGCTATCTTTCATAAAGCCTGTTCTACCAACCATTTACGCAATCTAGGTAGGTAGGGTATGCTTTGTTTTCTTCTGTCCATCAACTTTTCAATATGTTCTGTGAGTGTCAAATTTTCTAAGCCCCCTTTCCTCATTATGTGCCCTAGAAATTCCAACTGTCTCTTTCTGATGTTAACTATAAGTGTCCTTTTTGTTTCCATTTCTCTCAAACGTCGTCATTGCTCTTATATTCAATACCTGGTATCCTCAGCCTATATACGAAGTACTACGCCATATTTATTTAAAGTTGTACTTTGAAGGAGACAAAGGAAACTACGTGTCAGTGTAGAGTGTACTGCGGCAGATTTCCTAACGTTTTATTAT